TTGCATATTCGTGAGTGTGTGTGATTATAACTCTTTGACTTTCTTTTAATTGCAAATTTTAGATCAATGAGCTCAGCTCGAAAAAGCACCAAACAAATAAAATCATAAACATATGAAACAAGTAAGCAAAGGCTATAGTCGTGCGAGGACGACCATGTGATACCCTACAACACTACAATATGTAAAAAGCCCCGTTATGTCCAAATCCATTTTGGAAGATTTCGCTTTTGAAATTATGTCATAGAGTACAGCCCAGATATTAATTACCCTTAGCATTTTTACCAGGTACGTTTGCCCAATATTTACGAACTCCGTCGTGCTGTTAGTTCTTGTGTTCCATTTTACAGCTAAATATAATCCAATGGTCATCCAAAATGCTAGAATTCTTCCCTGTCCTTAACAGGCGTGTCGATTGGCTTCAATTGTGTGATCAGGAAAATTTTCAGTTCTTGGTCCATTTCAACCCCTAAAAATATTGCGGACATCTTTGAAAATAGGCGTAGCCCTTCTGAGCCTAGCCCTACCCTTGTGAAAATTTTCGTGAGGTTTGGACGATAATTGCAGACTGTATACAATAACCCCAACATGTTGTAAGATAAAAAAATATTACAAAATATACACTTCAATATGAAGTCAAATTGAAAAAATCGCATGAGATGAAAAATATGAAAAAATAAAAAAAATGTCACAAAATACTACAAAATCTGTTTTAACATCATTTTTGGCATCTTTTTATGCGATTTTTTTAGATTTTATTTGTTTATGCCAAGAGGGCATTCTTAAGTTATAAGCATTCTAGCTACCCCCTTCCCCTTCCTTTGCCTACATATTACGCTGTATATATCCGATATATTTACTATCGGCATCTACGTAACGGTCAGAATTGACCTGTTCGTCTATTTGTGATTTCGCCGGGATTAAAAAATATGCCCCGTTTAATAGAAAATTTGACTTTTAATTAACACAAATGTTATGGTCTATTTCACCCACTAAATATTACCTGATGACCATCAAAATTGCAAGAATTTTGCCCAGCCGTAAGCTCTAGCCCCATGTTAACTTCCACGTCGATTGGTCTATAATTGCGACCTGCAGAGCAACAGCAAAATCAGGAAAATTTGGGTCCGTTTCAACCCCGAAATATTATGCGATTATCTCCAAAAGCAATAGGTTTCTATTCTGACCATAACCACTCCTACATTCTAAATTTGGTGAAGATCGGGCCATAATTGCGACCTGTAGAGTGATTACAAACGGACGGATATACATAGCTAGATCGACTCAGCTCGGCGAGAAAGGAAGATCCATATATATATTTTTCTATGTAGGAAACTAATATTTCGAGGTGTTACATAATTTTTGGCCCAATCAAACTAATAATACCCCCAACACATAGTGTTGAAGGGTATAAAAAGACGTAAGTGTCGGCAGGTATTGATAAGACATGGGTATTCGTTTTCTTTTTAAGAGAAATCAAAGAGGCGAATATGCCAACGGCTCACAAACTAAAGGATAACCCGTCTACCCAAAATGTTTAAATGTTAAAATGTTGGTTTCTTTTACTGTACGGATGATATTCACATTTTCGAAAGGAATAAAATTACTATTCCCATTTCAGCAATGTGATTCATTTGTTAAATATATTTTAAAACTCACTTTAGACATCTCAAAAAGAAATCTCCGAAGGCATCGAATTTCTATTAATCAGTATCCAATTCTAATGTCACAATGTGTCACTAACATTAATATCAATTTGAACGAAACAGGTTATCTTTTGTGTTCGACTGCGTGTAAACATGTCCAGTAGCAATTGATTTTAATTTCATTCAATATTATCAAAATGGAATTCTGTTTTGAATTGAATATTTAATGCTGTGCTGTGGAACACATTGTTATGCTAATAAATGAGATATTTTGAAAGAAACAGAGGCTTATTTCACTTTTGTTTTGTTTCGATTTGATATAATCGCATTTTTTGGTTTTCGAAATGGTAAACATTACCATCGTTCTCCACTCATAAACAAACGTTGTTTTTATAAAAACAACAATAATGGGATTTTGCCTATGTAATTGTGTTTTCTGGAAAACCTTTCGCCCTGACAGGCAAAAGAAATGGAGGAATGAAGAAACACACTTACAAGGTACACATATTTTCATTGCTACAATAATAACAAAAACTGTACTCAAAAAAATATTTACAAAAATTAAACTCAATATTGTGGCAATAATCTTCTTATATCTATGAAAGAGGAAAATGTTTGTAGTTTTGATTGTTTGTTTGTAATTTATGGACTCGAAAACCGCTGAATAGATTTCCCTGAAAATTTCCATATATATTGCAACATCGCCTGAAAGTAACATAGGCTATATACATTTTTGAATTTCCACTTGGAACTGGAGATATAGCATCAGAATCGGAGGTACCTCCCAAAAATTTAGATTTTATATGCAAGATTTGGTACACAAGTAAATTTGCCGATTTCTTGCATTTGATGCGCCAAGCTTGCTATAAATGTTAAATTTCAATAAAGTTTGGAATGTTTGACGGAATTGGGTATAAAAATATTTATATAATTATATTGAAACCTGTTCAGATTTTATTGAGAAACATAAACCCACTACGATTTTGCAATGGTATTAGGCTAATAGTCAAAAAAATACACAACAATTTAATCGAGGCTACGATTATTACGGAGAATTATCTGGGTTCAATTGTATTGCTACCTTGAATCCCTCTAGTAGCCAGATATTTGCCATTTAACTTTAAACAAGTAAAAAAAACATTAAGTTCGGCCGGGCCGAACATTTAAAACCCTTCAACTTAGGGTAAAGGAAACATTAGAACCCATTGTGACCCACAAGTACCAATTTTTATATATATGCGTAAGAAAATGTGGCAAAAATCATCAAAATATCGAATGTCGGGAGGTACCGGTATATGGGGCTATACAAAAACGTGAACCTATACATACTATGTTACGGCAACGGAGCTAGAACCCATTAAGAAGAATTGTGGCAAAAATTATGAAAATACCGAATACCTGGAGGTACCGTTATATGGGACTATTACTAAACGTGGACCGATATATCTCATTTTCAATACCAACCATCTTAGACACAATACAAATAGTTCTGATAAATTTTGACGCTCTACGCCAAATAATGTGGGCTGTATGGTGATTTCAACAGACAGACAGACATACAGACAGACGACTTAGAATTTTATTCTGATTATATATATATATATACTTCAAGGGGAATATTTAGGGATGTTACAAACATAATGACGAATTTAATATGCCCTCCTTTCCAGGGAGGAGGGTATAAAAATATTAGTTTCCTGTTCGCTTGGCATTTGCTACGGCAATTAATAAATCTCAAGGACAGACTCTTCGTGTATGCGGACTAAATTTGACAAGTTCCTGATTTTCTCATGGTCAGCTATACGTGGCATACTCAGGTGAGGATAGACCGAGCGTTTTCTTGCTTACGCTCCTTAAGGGAAAACACACCAGGTCTTGTGTTTTTGTAAAAATAATGGGATGTGTAAAGTATAAAGAGAACCGGATGCTTATATCGGATATTATAATCATTTGGTTAATCAACATTTTGCCCCTTTGTGGGGAGGTACCAGAAAGAATGGTCGGATCTCTACCACCATTATAACATATCTTCTGTTAATAGTAATATTGAGATGTACCAAGTCTGAAGGGAATCGGATTTAATTTCGCGTTTTATGAGCTTCATGGGTATTCCAAATGTTGAACCTTTATGGAGAAGGTACCATAAGCAGTGGTCCAATATTTTCCAACTTCACACCAGGTCTTGTCTTAATAGAAATATTGGGTTGTTTAAAATTTAAAGAGAATTACACAATTCACGTTTATGATCGTTTGGGTTATTCAAAATTTTGACCCATTGCGGGGGATGTACTAAAAGGTCTGGACCGATTCTCAGATAGAAATATTGATATGTGTGAAATTTTAAGACAACCGAACCTTTATTTTATATTTTATTCGAGTTCTTGTTGCTACATTTTTGTAGCTTTGTGAGCACTTTACCCCATGACAGAGTGTTCTCTATATAGGTCCACGATATTGTATAGCCCCCCATTCCTGATCACACAATTGAAGCCAATCGACACGCCTGTGAAGATGGTTAAGCACAGGGAAGAATTCTGGCATTTTGGATGACCAATGGATTATATTTAGCCGTAAAATGGACCATAAAAACTAACAGCATGACGGAATGCATAAATATTGGGGAAATGTCCCCGGTCAAAATGCTAAGGGTAATATCTGGGCAGTGCTCCGTGACATAATTTCAAAAGCGAAATCTTCTAAAATGGATTTGGACATGAGAGGGCTTCTAAAATATTGTAGTGTTGTAGGGTATCACATGGTCGGCCCCGCACGACTATAGCCTTTGCTTACTTGTTTTTTTTTTTTTTGAAAAATTTCTAATTCGTTCCAAATGGTGGAGGGTATTCAAAGTTCAGCCGAACTTACTGCTTTTTTACTTGTTAAAATTTTAAGTAAGCGTTCGACTAATATCAAATGATACAGAATTCGAGATAAAAATTTATATATATTTTATTATTTGGAGTTTCCAAAAATGTTTTCTATATAATTTTGCCAAAATTCTGAACTCTAGCTATTCGTGATCGCTCTATATGAATGCTATAATATTTAGTATCTCCTAGTACTTTCGAAACCTTTCAGTTGAAAATTCAGGAGAACTTTAAGTAAGAAATTGCAAAATAAATTATTTGAGACAGTTACACATACCCATCTGTCCATTAGTGGTAATCACTTTTCCAAACACCCACATAAAGAAATTTGGATCTCTTGATCTTTTCGATTATTAAATTTAAGTTGTACTTTATTTAGTACATTTTGTACTTTTTTGGTACTTTCAGTATTAATCTTGATAGCATTACTCATGTAAAAATAAAATTATTTTCTGAAATTTCATTTTTAGAAATATGGCAAAGAAGAAGATTTCAGTTTTTATTTCATTTCGTTTTTTTTATTTTTTTTTATAAAAATTAGCAAACTCGTTATAAATATTCAATTAAAAAAGGACTAACAAGTGTGTTTTTTTCTTCATGTTTCATAAATAACTAATAACTAAACAAAGGATGTCAACATATGAATTTCTTAATTTTTATAGCGTGTTTTGTTTTTGGGATGGGTTTTGTTCATATGTTTAATAATTTCGTAATTGTGTTTGGATGATTGGGGATTGGGAATGGATGTTTTGTGGGGAAATGGGAGGGGGAGAGGAGCTTGGGATATGGGAAGTGATAAAAAATGGCAGCGATGAATTAAAACTTAAACATTTCTAACAAAACAAACAAAGGCTAAATATGGCCTTTAAATAAAATAAACTAAAATCAATTGGTGGTCCATATTTATAAAATTTGTGCAAATGTGGGAGGTTGAAGGATATTTTAACTGGGGAGTTAACTTCTACTTGAAACCACTTATAACACTAGTTATAAATAAGGTCCATGAATTTTGGGAGGGAGTGGATGGTGATTTAGTTATAATCATAGGATTCATCATCGTCCAAATTGCCATACAAAGCTTCCATCTCCAGTTGCAGTTCGTGGATTTGTTCGGCAATTTCACGGGGCATTTCTTCAATGTGAATGGCCTTGATCTCCTTCAACATGTCCTTGCTCATGTTGTCAATGCGGAAACCACGCTCATCGAACAAGGGTTTCTCACCGTTGGCCTTGCGTTTCTCATCGACATATTTGAGAGCACGGGCAATGGCCTCTGGAATTGGTGGTGGTGTGGGGATGTGGTCGCCCTCGGGCACGAAACCTTCGTGGGTGCTCTTGTAGTTGATGCGATAGAGTTTGCCATCATCACCGGTGTATTCGTAGCGTCCTTTGGCATGGGTGCCACCGGTGTGATGAAGCTTGGCCTGTTCCTCGCCATAAATACCGTTCTCAGTTAAGAAACTGGCAGGATAATAAAGAGGGAGAGAGAGGAAGATTAAAATGAGTTGTTGAGAATAAAAGGTAGATAATTCTACAAGAACTTACGTATGATCGTATTTATCTGCCTTGCGTTCGTTCTCCTGGTGCAAAATCTTGTGGCGGCCTTCATCGTCATAATTGAAGAGAATGCTGCGTGGTGTGGTCGTTGTTGTAGTGGTAGTTGTGGTGGTGGTAGTAGTAGTTGTTGTGGGTTTCTTGGTGGTCGTTGTGGTACTCTGTTGTTCATGAGCAAAGTGGCAGTGAGAAGAGGAGTAGAGTAGAAAAATGATTTTGAATATTTTGTCATTTGTTTTGGATGAAGGGGCAGATTTTGGAGAGGAGCATGCAGGTTAGGTTTAATATCATTGCATGCACAGGGTTTTGGGGGAGGGGGCAGTAATTTTGAAAATTTACACATTCCATTTCGTTTGGGGACTGGTAGTGGTGGAGTGAGAGTATGGTTGGATGTGAGTCAATTTTGGGTTTTCCTTAGCCTATTTATGTGATTCTTTTTTACATAAGTATATATGTGTGTTTGCATATGGGTGTGTGAAATATTGTACAGTTATTGATTGTTAAATAATACAAAACATTTATCGAGATTTCTTATTATATAAAAATGTATATAAAAATAATACTTAAAATTAACACATATAACTTTACACAGGACACAGATCATGCAATGGGTAATGGAGTAATTAGAATTTCAATGCTGGTCTTTTTTTTTTTTTTTGGTAAATTACAAGTGTTGTGTGGAATTGAGTTGATAGTCGTGTTGTTTGAAGAATTATTGTGCAGTATTTCAAATGTTGCTGTTTATGAGTATTTTTTTTTTTGTTTTTGTGAGACACATTTAACGTGCAGCATGTTTAGTCGTATTGATTTGATAATGTGGTTGTTTCTTCGATAATAGGTTCATGATCGGGAAAACCATATTCCAATTGTATTTCGGGAACTTTAAAATCAGCATTACTTACTGTGTACAGATTGTGGCTGAAAAAAAAAAAAAAAAAAAAAAAAAAAAAAAACAATGAATAAATATTTAAAACAAAAGTAACAAAATTTTCTCGTTCAAAACTTACTCATAAGGCTTGTCATCGTGCACATAGGGACGGGCATCATGATTGTAGGGTATATTGCTGCCACTGTATGGACCATAACCGCCATCATAGGGATTTGGTATATGTACATATTTACCCAATTCACGATTGTCTGAAACATGTACATATGGCACCGGCGTGTGCTGATAGCGACCTGTAAAATGAGGATAGATCTTTTTCAAAAATTTGTTTCTTGAAATGATGAGGTTGAGCGAAATTTGGTGAAAATTTTTGGATAATGAAAGTTATTTTTTTTTTTTTTTTGAAAAATGATTTGTATTTTTGTTGTTGTTGTTGTTCTTAGACTGTTACATTTGCAAAGCATTGCCTAATTGGTACTTGATTGTAAAACAAAACATAATAGTGTATTTTATTAAGCAGATGCATTAAATATTTCTTGCTTATGAAGTAAGATATAATATTATTTAGGTAGAAACACAATTGTATTAAAGCGAGCTTAAGGGGTCTTATTAAATATAGCATGCAATTTATTTTTTCGTAAGCAGAAACCCGGATTGCTAGTCTATAGAGATTGCAGGCTTAAGGTGCAGATTATATCAAGAATTTCCGGAAGCATGGATATTGCCACAAATTTTCGGATTTATGTTAAAAATTGATTTAATCGGAAATATTAAACCTATTACAATCATTGTACTTGGTGTCAATAGCAAGAGGTTAAATGAATATAATTAAAATAATCAATAAGATATCGTTCAATCGTGGATATTTAAAAGAATATCATGGTTATAATGAAAGATTATAAAAATACCAAAGCCATGGATTATTGTTTAATGGGGTTTCGACATAGTCAAATCAAATTCGGTTGAAAAATCAAACTAGATTTTTTGAAGTACAAAAAGTTAGGGTAAACCGTAATAAATATTTTTTTGAAAGATGCTGGAACTACTTTCGTTGGAAATTTATTGTTAGGATTTTTGAAAAACCTATAATCTAATTGAATGTAAAAATTATCAAATGTAGAAATTTCCGTTAGTAAAAATGGCGGATATTTCTATTCTTCTTAAAGAGTTCCCTTATAATGTGGACTTATATTAAAATTTTGATACCCTCAACAATAGAGAATATTGAAATATTTATCGAAAACCCAAAAAAAAAAAAAAATATATATATATATATACATTTCCTGGTCGGTATAAAATTATGAGGCGATTTGGAAAAGGATTACATTATTGCAGGCTGATTGGTATTTAAAATCGAATTTCGGTATTTTGGAGGTTTCTGCTACACTTTCCAACCAAATCAGCTGAACCGTTACATTTGGGGTTCTTCGTAGGTCTGTTCTCTCCTTGCAAAAAATATTCGCTACTAATTGGTATAGTCCCCATATTACGGTAGATTTTTGGTTTTCAGTATTTCATTTTACGTAGAGGAACTCAAAGCCCTTTTTATTTGTTTTACCAATTTAAGAGCATTAATATCAAAATGTACTGAAGGTCTACAAAATATTAAGATTTGGAGTAAATCAATGCAGCCAAAAAGAATTCTCAGGATTCGAGGCGAAGTAGCCAAAATAAACAAAATATTTTAAGAGTCTCAAATATTTTAGATATATATTGAGATCGTTTAATTATCGATAAAAAAACAATTTGAAGACATTTGGCGTAAAATGAGCTGAAAGTGCTCGAAATATTTTAATGGTTGATCTGAAAGATCTATTTTTAAACTTTCCCTTGGAAAATAGAACGGAAAACATCTCCTATGCAAAATAGGGACTACTTCGAATTCGAAGTCGGTGAGCTTTTTATATATTGAGCCCATTGAAAAAAGAGGGACTGATTTCTTATACTAAAAAAAGCTGGCCAAAAAAATAGTTAAATTTAGCAAACGTTATAGTGGTGCTGATGGGTCGATCAACACCTTAATTTTCGTAAAAAGTTTCCGTAGATCTGCATGCCATTGTGAATATTCTTCAATTAATATCATACAAAGAATTTAAATCGGTTTTGACCGGAACCCCGAGACCATGTGAAATTTCGTGAAAATTGCTTTCTATGGATGGTCTCATCTGTGGTGATGGGTATTCAAAACCATATTTGAAAATTGTTATTACTGAGTGTATTTTGCTATATATCCCATTCCTGACTAGATACACCAATGAAATCAGAATCAATGAAAACGTTTAAGGCGCCCTTCTTAAGTATGTCTGCTTTCGACGGGAAATGGTTTTCAGTTTTCAAAATATTCGCAGATGAAAAGAAAGTTTGGTATTTTTCATACAAATATTATCCGATGACAATTAAAAATCGTTGGCTTTTGTCATGTCCCACACTCTAATGCCAATATAAATTATATTAATTGTATTTGTATATATTAATGTATTTTCCAAATTTATATTGTGTTGACGAACATTTAAAAACAAAAGACTTAAGACACAAACAATAATCGTTCGAGTGTTAAAATCAAAAGACTTAAGCAACAAACATGAGGCATAAAAAGACTTAAGAAACAGGCATGCAATAGCACAATAAATTTAATTTTTTGTTGTTGTCGTACAATAACAAATATTTACAAGTATACCACAATTAAGATGTCAATAAAATGCAAAGGCCTAAAAGAACAAATTTCTTGAGTTGGACTTTAAATTGTGTAGGTGTATTTTTTTGAGATGATTTTTCATGAGAATATTTGTATGTAGGTATTTAAGTCTAAAATATTAAGTTTACCATGGGCATCGATGTAACCACCTTTTCGGTCTATAAATAAATTGAATTTGTAATAAATTAATAAAAAAAAAGATGAAACAAATTGTATATTCAATAAGAAGTGTTTGGGGGAAAATATAGAGGTAATATTGCATTTGAAAGGAATTTCTAACAAACAAAACATTAATCAGTTATTAAAAAAATAATATAAAATAAATAAATTAATGAAAAATTAAATAAAAAATTCTGAAATCTAGATTTTTTGTGATATTCTGTTGGAAAATGTATTCTTTTTAAATTTTGTTAACATTTGTTTTTTGTTTTAAATTTTGAATTAATGAAATTATTGACATTGCCAACAAAAGTTGATCATTTTTGCTGACATTTTTATAGCACTGCCTTATTGCCTATGAAAATTGTCATCAATGTGTTTGTTTGATAATGACTTGTAATTGTAAACGAGATTCTGATGAATGTGAAGTTTTGAGTTGACTTTTGTTGTTGTTGTTTGTTTTGCATATTGTTGCGAAGTAAGAAGAAGAAGAATCAGAAATCGAAAAGTAATATAAAATTATAAAATATTATAACCAAAATCAAAACAAGTCCATGTCATAAACATCAAAATTGCTGTGTGATTTAAACGTTACAACAATTAATAGGATCATAAATTTTTGGAATTTGACGGCAAAGATTCGAAAAAAGAGCAACGTATATGTAAATCGAGTACAATATCATCGGAGCGTCTAAAAATAACCAGAAAAAAACTTACACCTCTCTGGCATGAGAAACGTGCGAAGGTTTAATGACACAAATTGACGTTGTTTGGATTTGGTTTCTATATTCTTTTTTTTTGGGAGCAATAAAATAAAGCTTAATGATTAGCATTCTGATGGATGGATGAAAGGTCAGCACGTCCCACTTGGTTAGGCATTGATGATGGTTACCCCCCTAAGAAAATTTGGGTGATATGCTTTGTGAATTTGTTAATCATATGTTTTAAAAGCCAGTGGATAAATATGTAAGTCAAGCGTTTCTTAACAATATATTACAACTGATTTATATTTCATTAGATTAGAAAGTCCTAAGCGGAAGTGATTCCTGAAAAGCAGTTCCTTTCGGGGTTAAAAGAAAACAATGCGCATGCATTTTAAGTTTTTCTGTCGTCTGCATCTGTTGGGTTACAAAAGAAGCTCTTGTAGCATAGCAAAAGAGTTTTCGTTCGTTAGCATGTATTAATCAAGGTGGAAAATTGTAAACCATCTTTGATATAATACCTTCATCATTTGACCTGGGACGATATTTGCCATCATCGATTGGATGATATTTGCCATCATTGCGACCTGAAACATTATACTTGCCATTGTCACCGTTAGCGGGTGCAGCACTGCTCAAAGCAATAGCGGTGGCCTGAAAGAAAAAGAGAAGAAAAAAAATTCAAAATTAATAAAAATACAGTTAAAAAAAGAAACATTTCTATAAATGAAGTGGTATTTATTTGTCCTTATATAATAAATGTAATTATTTGGGGGATAAATAATAACATTCCTCATTCTTTTTCTGTAACTGACCGTTACATTAAAATTTTTAAAAATTTTTTGTTCATTCCATTCTTAATTACTTGACATTTTTGTTTTAAGTATAATCCGTTAAATTTCATCATCAATTCGAACTTGTTTCACAACGGTTCAATTGATCTGTTCTAATTATTGATTAGCTCATCTCATGACATTTTGTCACAAAAAAAAAAATCAATCTCGTTGTGTAAAATAAATATTTTGGATATTTTTGCAATTATTTTTATTCATACACAAAAGACACATGCGCTATGCACTGGGTTATTGACTGCCAGACATTGTTTTGTTGATTATTATTCGAAAAAAATAGACATATTAAGGAATTCCGTAAAAATATAAACAAGTTTTAAGCCCACATTTAATTATATGAATAATCTGAATAATCAAATAGAATTTTTGACATTTCTTAAATAAAACGTTTATTACCGTTTGTTTTTGGTATTCAGTAATATAATACTTTGCGATTTGTTCATAAACCTTCAATTATTATGAGCAAACTGTAAATCTGATTTGACTCTATTTCAATTTTCGTTTTCAAATATAGATTTGTGTTTAGTTTCCTTGAAATACAGGGTGAGATGAAAAATCTGCAACCAACATCAGACTGCTGCCATTTCTAAGCCACTTGTCCGACAGCTGTTAAAATTATTCCAGTGACAGCTCATTATATTGTTTTGAAAAGCATTTTGATGAGAATTTTCCAGAAAAAAGTCATTTGGAATGGAATTCAAGCGTGATAGTGAGCTTTCTTTAAATTTGGCTGGAAAACCACAAGTGGATACCGATAGAGCACTCCAGCATTTAAATGTGAATAAATCTTTTGTGTCTCGTATTATCGTTACTGTGATGCCGGTAGCGTAGCACGACATCAAGGAAGTAGACGAAAAAAAAAAAAACAGCAACATCAGCAGAAATGGTTCGAAAAGTAAAGAAGCGAAAAATGGCTCGTGAGCTGAACATATCGCAATATTCCATTCGGCAAATAAAGCCGGGGTAAAGCCATTAAAATTCCAAAAAGTGCAAAAACATACACCGCAGCGGAAAGAAAATAGACTCAAAAGAGCTAAAGACTTGCTTCGGTTAGCCGAAAGTGATGAACTACCGAATTTGGTTTTCTCCGATGAGAAAACATTCGTTGGCCAGCAGTTTGTCAACAAATAAAAATTATCGTGTTTACTTGCCAAAGAGGTCAGCTGAAAATGTGCACCTTCGATTGGCCACCAGAACTCAAGCGTCGGCCATGGTGATTGTATGGGCCACCATATCAGCCGATGGTCGCTCTCTGTTCGTATTAATCGACCGTGGCATCAGAATAAACGCCGAATATTATAGCGAAAATATTCTGGAGGGTGTATTAAAGCCTTGGCTACGCAAACATTTGGATCAGACCTTGGACATTCCCACAGGACTCAGCACCATCGCACTCAGCACGCGCCTCCCAAGAACAGTTACAAAATTAGGTTCCTCGATCCATTTCCAGTGCATAATGGTCACCAAAATCTCCGGATACCAATCCGTTGGACTATTGAGTCTGGAGTATTTTGGGAAGCAAGGTTGGCACTAAAAAATACCAAAGTGTCGATCACCTCAAGCAAGCGCCTTGCCGAGCCAAAATACAGCAGAACAACAGATTTGAGGTAAATTGGTGTTTTTCCAACAATTTTCATCGGAAGTGCCTCAAATTTTATATATCGTGTTTTTTGGGGATGATACCCCCGATAATAGGTATTTTCCAGGTTTCAATGAAATTGAACACAACTATGTTTTTGGAATTAGTGTTAAAATATGGGGGCTATTTGTTTGTGTGCCGCCTGCTTTCAGGTATTTTCAAGGGTATTTGTGGTTCTCCATTCGTAAAATTCGTCATGTTTTGATACCGCCCGATTTTTGGTATTTTGGTTAATATTGCCAAATTATTCAACTGAAGAGGCTTTTAATATGAATTCTTCATCTGGCCCAAGATTTGGTATTTAAAGGTATTAAAGCCATTTTGGATGTTTTAGATATATATTTAAAACCGAATTAACAGAAAACCATGTGTTACCAAATGGTAAAAATTATTTCTAAAAAGGAAAAGTTCTTTTCGACTTAACTTTTTGGAATGGAGCTCACGAAGACCGATCTGCGGTTTTTTTGCATCTTTAGGATATACTTTTTAAACGAATTGCAGATATTCGCAAAAAAACCTTCAGTGTAGGTACAATAATTAATTTTAGAAAATCTTTTAATTTTGGTACCTTTTATATTTTTGTTTCAAGTCTGCTGATAAGAGAACCGATTTCGTTACAAATTATACTTTCCTTGTGCAATTTTTGTGATTTATATGCAACAACAATGGCTTCATTCCAAACTTCAGATTTGGATCATTAAAGCTATTATAGATAAAGTGAAATTGTTATTGTGGATTCGACATCTGCGAAATTAAAAGAAAATCGGACTTTGAACAACTCTTTAGGTAGGTGATTGTGAAATGAGGTACAAAAATGAGAGGATCAGTATTGACAATTTTTACACCTGAACTAAATTTTGTCTAAATATTATAATATGCCGAATTTGAACTTGTATCGGGTGGCCCATGCCGTCAAGATGAGATTCTTATCTGTTTCAGCAACATTTTTGTAAGTATTTTACTGGAAAAAGTGGACCCATACTTGGTTTTTTCTCATTTACTCTAACATAAACTAAAATATTCTCGAACACCGATTTGACATTTAAAGAGCGTTAGTTTAATTCAAAATTTTGCCCTTTTTTGAAATGGACCAGAAAAAGTATTTAAATGTAAATGCCACACTTTATTTTTTGTGATTATTTTTTTCAGAAACATGTTCTTCATAATAATAAAGAGTCATGGTAATTATAATCACCAACTTCTCATAAAACAATAAATATTCAATATCATGCACAAATAATTGTACCATAACAGAAGCATCATCATCTTCAATATTGTTAATAACTGTATCTATACCAGTCTATTTATCTTGCCTGCAGTAAATAAATACCACACGAAAGGGAGTGTTTTCTAGTTGGTTATTTGTCTGAGATTTCACTTTCAAACCCATGAATGGTTTTAAATGCTGATTATCAATAATTTAGCTTGACATGTGAGGCAAAATAAAAACACAGGGCAACGAACTCTTTCGAACATATTTTAAAACAATCTTATCTCTATATATTTTATGATCTTAAATATGGGCCATTTGGAATAGTCTAATTAAATAGATTTCAAAATTTTGTTGCATTTTTTCCATGTTTATGTCTCACCACAAAGTGATAAACTCTTGAACTTGAAACACACACACACACACAAAACAAATCTGAAACAAGACCAGCCCAAAAATTATCATAATAAGTGAACGTCCAACAGATTTTTTTATTTTCCAAAATTTGTTTTTTTTTTTTCCTTATACACATTTAAAATTGGAGACGATATTCAGGCTGATAAGATTTTATTTCTTTTCCCTCTGTTGTGGTGTTTGGAAGATTGAAATGAAATTAAGTACGGTTTGGTTGGTGGCTTCTAACATGGGGGGTGCTTAAAACGAAACCAAAACTTAAAGATAGAAACCAAACCGTATTCGGGGAGTGTTTTGTTATTGCTGGAATTTTAATGAATATCGTTTCGAAATATAATTAATATTATTATGTCTAAGAATGTCTGCAGCCATTGACGAGCACATTATTTAAAGAATATTTTTGAAATTTCATTGAGTCATGTTGTTGTTTTAGCCATTTATTTTGAAATGCAATGTTCTTGTTGGTGTTTTTGTAAAGATCAAGAGTCATATGGACATGGTATTAGTTTCCGTATGAGTTTTAATATATGGGCAATGTTTAATTTTTTTTTGGTCAATAGCTTCCGCTAATAAACGTTATTTCGAAATCTAAATAGCTTATAGAGAATGTTTTATGGTATTTTTTAATTCTACAGTTAAATAACAAAATGATTCATATATTTGCTTCAAATAGAAATAAGTGTAAAAATGTGGGATTCTGGAATTCTACCTCACGATGAAACAGAACAACTGGATTTTTTAAAATTAAATTCATTTTAAATTTTCGTTATAACCTATTACAATACACAAATCTAACCCAGTATCATATTAAAAAGTTATTTCTAAAGTAAAAAAAACAGCATATATGTAGAAATATACCCTTTTTAAAAGTATGCCAAATTTAAAACAAGTAAGCAAAGGCGCGCGGGCCGACTATGTAATACCCTACATAAATACTATATTTTGGAAGCCCCCTTATGTCGAAATCAATTTCGGACGATTTTGTTTTTGAAGTGATGTCAAAAAGCACTGTCCGCGTCGATTGGTCTATAATTGTGGCCTGTAGAGTAAAAGCAAAATCAAAAATTTATTCTTTATTTATTCCATTTCAACCCCTAAATATTTTGCGATCATCTCCAAAAAACAATAAGCTGCTAATCTGACCCCAACCCTATTTTCAATTTCGTGAGGATCGGGCTATAATTGCGACCTGTAGCGTAATGCTGAATCGACTCGGCGAGATAGAAAGATCGATATATAGTTTCCAATGTCGGGAACCAATATTTCGAGGTGTAACATAATTTCTGGCCCAATCAAACTTATAAAAATGTTTTAGGTCATAAAAGCACTATGAAAATGTGGCTAAAATAATCAAATTACTGCATACATGGGAGTACTGCATGGATAATATTCTGGCACAGAACTCATTACGAAATGTGTCTAAGGTAGACAAAATATCGAATATCAGAAAAGAACAGAAATTATGCATTTTAAACTGTCTTTTCACAAAACACTTATATGCCAAAATTTTAGTCTACTACCTATATTATTTGAAAAGATAGCGTGATTACCAACGGCCGGGCAGGAAGAAAGATAGACTTCGGTAAATCGACTTAGAATTTCACGTTGTTCAAGAATATGCCTATACCTCGTAGGGTTTAAGGTGATTTTTTCGAGATGTTATAAATAAATGCACATGAGGAAGCGCAGGGGAAGTTTTGATGAAATTTATTGTTGGTTCCGACAGTACTTTGATCATTTTAAAGTTTATTCATGTATATCCTCTTTGGGGGGATGTCGTTGCATGAAATCCGATATCAGCAAGAATACTACAATGTACCAAGAATGACGTGAACTGGGGTAAAATTTCGCTTTATTAAAGTTATGCTAGGAACACAATTGGAGCGAACGACGAATTTCGCCCTACGCGGCGACAAAATGAGCCGCGAAAATTCGTCGTATGGAACACAATACCGACGAAATTATAAAACAGCTGATGAAGTCGTTTACTTTTTGCTCATTTGTTGACTACAATGAATTATACAAGAACACATAATTCTTTACGTTCTCTATTATAATTTCACTTATGTCCATCTTCTCTATTATAAATTCACTGATATCCATCTTCACTCAGGCGCAAGTACACAAATAAATAAACAAATTAATTATGTTTTTTTATACGAGTAACAGATAGTAGAGTGACCATAACAAATTTTAAAGTAAAAAGTAACTTTATTTACTAAAACACATAAAATTCGTACAAGTATGGCCACCTTGTACTGTTTTGTTCGCCGGTCGCCGGCGTATGAAATAGAAATAAAGCTAATTGAGTTCGCGGCGACCGACGAAATTTTCGCCGGTGCCGTGATTGTGTGCACTTCCATATACACATATGTGTTTTATTTTTGACGACGAACATACGCCGCGAAAAAATTCGTCGTTCGCTCCAATTGTGTTCCTAGCATTATGCTTATTATTGCTTATGCAAAAGGAGTGACCCCTTAAATCTTCATGTGAGAATGGTATCTTGTTGAGCTATTCTAAGCTTACAGAAGAAGTGCCCTAATTTCACATTTAATGAGCGTTATTGGTATTCCAAATGTTGCTCTTTGGGGGGGAGGTACATAAATCAGCGGACAAAAGAAAAAAAGTGAGATAGACATATGACCTACGAAATTTTTGAACTTTAAGTAGAGGCAGGCTTTATCAAAAAGAGACACATTCCATTTTCGAATCATCTCCAATATAGACAAAAATATTGGTATATGAAAAAATTGAAGAAAATCGTAAAATCGGACACTAACCTATGTCATATTTAAATATAACGATGCGTCGAGTTTTAACTATATGTATGACAAAAAGGTACTTAAACGAAGTTCAGTACGGGATGTTTATGTTTCTGTTTCAAAATATATGAACTTTTGTAGGAGAGGTGTCAAAAAAGAGATTGTTTATATTTTCTCAAATATAGGGATTGAAAAACCATTTTGTTGGAAGGTGCCAGAAAGACTGGTCCGACGTATAACATTATTACGTTGAGATTTGTAAAGTATGCGAAAATTACTATTACTCAAAATGTTTACCGTTAATGCGGTAGGTATATAAATTTGAGGACCAATATTGCCAATTTTCACACTCAACCAAAGCTTTATATAAACATAAATAATATCAATGTGAAAAGTGTGAACCACATCGGCTAAATATAAGACAAAGTAGGAAGACATACCTAATTTTAAAACTAATTTTATTGGTTTATGGTGTCTCGTTTTACAAAAGTTATTGTTATTCAAGACCTTTTGTGAGAAAGGTGCAAATGGGAGTAGTTGATTTTAGTACCTGACCTTAGTCATGTCTAAATATATCGATGTGCCAATTCAAACTATAAGGATACTCCATTCGCTGAATATTTTTATTTTTGTTTGTAAAACTATGTATTTTTGAAACCATGACATTTTTTCAGTTATATTCATTTTTTAAAGCATTTGGTATTTAGCTCTAAGCGTGTTGGCAGTTAAAAATAAAAATTGTTTACAAAGAATTGTGTTGATGTGAATTAATTTTTTTTAAATTTTTTGTGGGCACAATTAAAAAAATAATAATAATCTTGGATTTGTACACTGCAATAACATTTGGAGAAGGCTAACATTGAAGAAAACTCATTTTGTCGTCCTTAAATTTCGATCACAAATTATATTTGTTTAATATACTACTTTCACTTTTTAAGGATATGTCAAGAAATTTATTTTCATATTTTTTGGACACTTTCAGATATAATTCACCGCATTTGTATATGCACATAATTATTTGCCCATGTGTTGTATGATCAATGTTTATATTATCATACAAGTCCACTACACGAAATTCACTTCACTTCAAGTTTTTTTTCGGTTATGCATTGCCTTTCAATGTCTTTTAGTCTTTCAGTTTTCATTTTCACCATTCTTTTTTTACTCACCACAATTGTGAAGAACACAATCACGTTTTTATTCATTTTTGCACTTTTATTTGGTTTTATGTTTGTAAACTTTTGTAAAACACTAAAAGTTGATTCTTTGATTTCGTTTAAATCTTTTCGCTGTGCGATATTTGTTATTAACGTTTCACAATATACAGTGGAAAATCAACGCTGGTCTGGGTTAATCCTTAAGCTTTGATTGTTGCAACAGGAATGTTTACTGTCCGTTCTCGGCTGGCCTCATTTATATGTGAACTGATTCTCACTTTTGTGGTATTCGAATTCTTTGTATTTGAGTTAAACGAGTCACAAGAATATCGGCTTAATCATCAGCAGCAGTGGGGATGAGTACAACGAAATAAGATTAACAATGTGTGTTGGTGTGTATGTGCATGTCTTCGATACTGCTCTCAATTCGCTTGATGATTTGCCATCTCACAAAATATTTAGTACAGACACAGACACACACACATACACCTACACTCAAATTTAGTACATGTAATTTGGATTTTCAGATTCCAGTGATGTTCTCCGAATGTTCTCATAAAATGTGTGAAGCTCAGGTTTTTGGGTGTTTGTTGTGGGGAATTCTTAAGACATTCAATTTGAAACAACAAAAACTCTTTTGGCTTAACTCTGCGGTTATCTCTTTGTTATCAGTTATTTTAATTACTCGCTCTTAAATGTTGTGCATTTGTATTGTATTTGAATCATTTTAGGTTCAATAAATTTGATTATTATAACCAGATATTTTAAAATGAAAAAAAAAAACTGAAGTTTCACACCATTTGTCATCACATTTTCCCTAATAAATTTCCTCATAAATTTTAGGAAATTAAATTTTATCAAAATGTGAAATTCGTAATATTACTAAGCGTAGTAAAAGATTTTTGGGAAGATATATGCTACAACGTTTTTATCAACTGCACATATTTAAACCAGTAAGGAAAGCTCAAAAGTCGGGCTGGGCCGACTATATGATACCCTACACCACTATGCATATTTAGTATAGCTCTCGTAAAAAGGTTTATACAGGGCATTTCAGAGCTCTATGAGATATTTGGTACAAAATCAAAATCTATCTAATTCTATCGTGCATTTTACGAACTATAGCTATCTCTGAACCGGATTTCTCCAAATTTTATGTATTAGCTTCTAGACTGAATTCGGTCTTATGTACGAAAATTCAGGTGATTTGGGCTGATATTGACCATTTAGTGCACATTTAACCCTAAATCGGATTAAGATATATATGGGAGCTATATCCAAATCTGAACCGATTTCGATAAAATTTAAAACAGCTATTTCTGTGCTCCATCTAATACCTGGTAGCAAATATCACGGTTGTGGAGTGAATATTACGAATGTATGGGACTAAAACACTAAATCGGATGAAACATATATATGGTTGCTATATCTATATCTGAACCGATTTTCACTAAATTTGATATACTTGCTTCTAGGCTGAATTTGGTCCGATGTACTAAAATTCAGTCCATTTGGACTTATATCGGCCATTTGGTGCACAATTAACCCGAAATCGGATGAAGATATATATGGGAGCTATATCCAAATCTGAACCGATTTCGATAAAATTACAAACAGCTATTTCTGGGATGTATCTTATATCTGGTACCAAATATCATTCTTGTGGAGTGCATATTACGAATGTGAGAGGCTTAAACACCAAATCGGATAAAACATATATATGGGAGCTATAGCTGTTTCTGAACCGATTTTTTCCAAATTTGTTGTATTTGCTTTAAGGCTAATCTCGGTCACATGTGCCAAAATTCGGGCCATTTGGACCGATATTGGCCATTTGGTGGTCAATTAACCCGAAATCGGAAGAAGATATATATGGGAGCTATATCCAAATCTGAACCGATTTCGATAAAATTTAAAACAGCTATTTCTGTGCTCCATCTAATACCTGGTACCAAATATCACGGTTGTGGAGTGCATAGTAGGAATGTGAGGGACTTAAAGATCAAATCGGATGAAAGATATATATGGGAGCTATAGCTATATCTGAACCGATTTTCTCCAAATTTGATATACTTGCTTCTAGGCCGAACTCGGTTGGGTGTGCCAAAATTCAGGTAATTTGGACTGATAGTGGACATTTGGTGCTCATTTAACCCGAAATCGGATGAAGATATATATGGGAGCTATATCTAAATTTGATCCGATTCTCACCAATTTCAATAGGGTTCGTCCTTGGGCCAAAAAAATATTGTTTGGAAAATTTCATCTCAATTGGATAATAAATGCGACCTGCATTTTGTTCACAAGAATACATGGACAGACGGACGGACGGACGGACGGACGGACGGACAGACGGACGGACATGCATAAATCGACTCAGAAAGTGATTCTATGAAGGTTCTCAAAAGTAACTATGGGTCTATCTCGTTTCCTTCTCCATGTTACAAACAAATGCACAAAGACATAATACCCTTACCACTATGTGGTGTAGGGTATAAAAATTAATCTCGTATGAGTTTCAAACAATTCAAAATTCTTCTAAAGTGCTTCCAAATCTTTAAATCTCATAACACTAAGGGTTGGGTTTTTTATAAGTTTGATTGGGCCAAAAATTGGCCCTGCACATAGGTTATAATATATGGTTCCTCCTAACTCGCCGACCTAAGTCAATCTAGCTATATGTATCGGTACGTCCGTCTGTCCATGTTATGGCCCATGCAATTAATGTATGCAAAAAAACGCAAATTTCCATTAAACCGCGAATGTTTTTAATTCTAGCAAAATCACAAATACCCGAAAAGGTCACCTCCGATCGTTACATTGATGATCATATCGAAGATTTTGCATATATAGCAAGATACAATCTGATATATCAATGAAGGGGATTTTAGTTAGACCGCTTATAACTCAAGAACAGCTGGACGGATTTTGACAATTGTCACCAATTCAGAATAGAATAAAAACAGGCCGCTATTATTGCCCGATCATTGCGAAATTTTGCTATGGGGGAAAGGTTGGAGTCGGAATAGAAGCATATTGTGGTGGAAGATGTTCACAAAATTTTTAAGATTTTGCAGTCACCCTACAGTTCCCAATTAAGAACCAATAGATAGGGAATTTTTTTTATAGATATTTTTATATAGAGCTTAGGACAGCGCTAAAGCCTAGCATCGGATAATTTTTAGTTGGTGAAATGAACCAAATTTTTGTGTGAAAAATATTAAAATTTTAAAAATTACAAATACCTGAAAGGAGCACCTCTGACGTTCAGTCTTTTCTGATTTCATTGGCGAATATACCAACATATCGGAAATACAGGAAATCTAAATTTGGTATGACTACATATAAACACGACATAGGTTATAAATATGACATCGTGGTTTCGGTCAAAAGCCAAGATGAAACAAGGAATTATTTCAAGAATGAAATGAAAATAAACTGTTCAATATGCATGGACATTTTTTTGAATGTAAGATGTTAGTTTATTCCGAATGAGCGAATCAGGTATTTAACGTACTAGGATCATTTGTTTTGTCAAATACCCATGCTTTTTTAGAGATTGTATTTTTTTATTTTTTTGAAAATATTTATTCCAGGTCTTTGATGATTCTTCGAAGAGGGGGATGCAATTTGGTTCAACATTTATGTTATTATGTACTAGATATGGGATGTTTCTTAGTGAAATCTTCATTCCAGTCAAAAGGGTTTTAGACCTGCAGAAACTTTACAACAGATTGTAGTATTGTAGGGTATCATATTGCCGGCTCCGCCTGACTATAGCCGTTGCTTACTTGCTATATATGTGTTCACTGTGTGATGTAGCCCCCATATAATCCATTTTTTCAATTTTATTTTTTTTTTTCAATTTTTATAAATTTTAATATTTTAAATTTTGCCTAAAATCAAGTATGTAAAATGTTGTGAAAATCGGTTCAGACATTGTTATAGCTTCCGTGCGTATTTCATCCCATTTCATAAACATAGACATTCGGTAAAAGATATCAGATAAAACAGAGAAATATCGTTGACAATTTTTACGAAACCGGTTGAAATTTGGATATAGTTAGATATCAAGTATATTATTCGCCAAATGTGTAGTATTTGCGACAATGGACATACAATACCAAATATTGCCTTTACTCAAATATATCAAATTTGGTTAAAATCAGTTTAGATTTTGTCTCCCAAATCCCTATTGTACACTCCATAAAAAGGATTTCCTGTACAAGATGTCGGCTACATCCTAAAAATACCTTTTCCAAAATTTATAGAGATCGGTTCAGATTTGTATAGATCTCCCACATATATTTCCCTCTAATTTGGCGTAGTTGAAGTTGTTTCATGTGATTTTAAATATAAGTATTCTGAAAGTCATAACATTCACTTCATAACAATGATATTTGGTTCGAGAGGTTACATACAACATAAATTTACCTCAGTCGATTTTAGTGGAAATCGATTAAGATATAACTTTCATAGGCTTGTTGCATCCGATTTCAAATTTACACCGCTCTATTGCTATTAAGGTGACAGGTGATTCTGCTAAATATTCAAAGTTGTGTTGGGTATGATGATGTCATCACTGAGCAACTTCGGTCTTTCCTTACTGGTTGTTATTTATTTTTCATCGGTAATCAAATTTGATCATCAAAATACCAATACCACAGTTATGTCAGGCTATACGAAAACTTAGACTTATGTAGCCAATTATCTGATATAGAAGGTGGTGCCTATTACGAACTCCAAAAAGCAAATTTGACTATTATATTCAGGCAGTTATTATCGTCTGAACAATATGAAATTTTGCATGGGGATAAGATTAGGATCGGAATAAAGGCCTATTGTGTCACTCTACAATTTTCAACTGAGAACCAGTACATATGGAATTTTTTATGAGCTTAGAGTTTAGGACAGCGCTAACGCCTAACATTTTGGATGGTCGTCGGATAATAATTAGCTGGTGAAATGGACAACAATTTTGTGTGAAAAATATTAAAATTTAAAAAAAACAGAAATACTTAAAAGGCGCACCTCTTACGTTTAGCATATTCTGATTTCATTTAGCATATTCTGATATAACAACATATCGGAGATACAGGGTATTTACATTTTGTTTGAATACCTATTAACACGGCATAGGGTGTAAATATTACCTCGTGGATCCGGTCAAAAGTCAAGATAAAAGATGAAATTATTTCAAGAATGAAATTAAAATAAACTGTTCAATAGGCATGGAAA